AAAATTGGACCTTTTGATATCTGTTGTATAAACATTATATACTGAAACAAAAAAGAAACTTTCTCCAAGTTTGAATGTAGATATGTTAGTACAATTTTTTTAATCCTTTTGAAACTCGATTTTTACGTTGAATAAACATACCAGGCTTTGATACGGGAATTAGCTGACCGATTTTGCAAACAAAACGAGTTTTACAAGCTACTACATGTATATACAGTGTTTTTTTCCCCTACTTTGGGAATGGTGCCAGTACCGGACGGATTGGGAAAAAATCCATCAGTTTGACTCAAATTGGGAATTTTATATTAGATGCAAATATTTATTTGGAATTTCTTTTATCCACGGAGACATGAAAAATTTGCATAATATACACAGAAAGAAAAAACTTAAAAAATCTTCTTTTAGAAAACCGAAAGCGCTAGAGCTTAAATATTTGGCATGAAACATAGTGTAGTCAGTGTCTACCAAGTTTGTTCAAATAAAAGCCCTGGGGTCAAAATTGGCCCCGCCCGGGGGGGGGGGTGGAGTCATAGATTTTCCCTATATGTATATAGTAAAGAAACTTAAAAATCTTCTTTTACAAAACCAATAGAGCTAGAGCTAAGATATTTAGCATGAAACATCTTCTGATGGGTGTTTGTTCAAATAAGGGCCGTGGGGTTAAAATTGGCCCCGCCTACGGGTCATTGATTTTCCTTATACAGTCAGGACTCATTATAACGACACTGTTGGTTCCCAAAGGATATGTCAGTATATCGAATTTGTCAGTATATTGAATTTCATCATTCTTCATATAATGATATGCTTATTTACTGGTATCTGAATATTATGTATTTAGATCTATAATAAACATCTATAATGAAAAAGATTTTTTTTGTTTATGTTTTCACTTTATTATACACATTACATATCATACACATAAAACAACAACTTAAATTACTAGAACTCCGCGAGACGGATGTGTCGCCTTGTGAACAATGTAGTTTAGGACAAATGGCCAGGACAAAAATGAAATTTAAAAATCAACAAAGGGCAATAACTCAAAAAATAAGAAATGCAGAGCAGCAGTTTCTGTGCACTGCACTTCTTATCAATAAGATCTATCATCCTATTAAGTTTCATATCTAAAGCTTTTATAATTATTGAGAAATGGCCTGGACAAAAATAAAGTATGTAAATAAACAAAGGACAATAACTAAAAAAATAAGAAATGCAGAGTACCAGTTCTTGGGCACTGCACTTCTTCTTAATAAGATCTATCATCCTATGAAGTTTCAAGTCCATAGCTTTTTTACTTTAGGAGAAATGGCCCGGACAAAAATAAAGTATGAAAATTAACAAAGGGCAATAACTCAAAAAATAAGAAATGCAGAGTACCAGTTCTTGTGCACTGCACTTCTTCTTAATGAGAACTATCATCCTATGAAGTTTCAAGTCCATAGCTTTTATACTTTAGGAGTAATGGCCCGGACAAAAATGAAGTATGAAATTTAACAAAGGGCAATAACTCAAAAAATAGGAAGTGCAGAGTACCGGTTCTTATGCACTGCACTTCGGGTCATTATAAGAAGCATGCATACCAAGTTTGAAGTCAATCCAACTTATAATGACTGACTTATGCTCCGGACAAGCTTAAGGGGACGCCGACACCGACAACGACACCGACAACGACGCCGACAACGACGCCGCTGCAAAAGTAACCCCTATATGTCGCCTTTTTCAAGGAAGGTGACACAATAACAACTAAAATGACTGTAGTTAAAGATTGATATGAAAATGATAAAACTTTATAGAATAAAAAGCACATACAATGATAGGACTTTTAAAAGTTAAATCTTTAAAAATTGATTGCACTTTGTTTGATGTCTTTGTCAATTAACAAAAAAAGTCTTTCATACTTTTTTGAACTTCGTTTGATTTTGTATTGTTTATAGCAGACATCAATGCCCAGGCAGAGTCTAAATATTTCGGATCAAAGAGGGTACCCTGTTGTTCTAAAAAAATTATGACATTGTTCAAGCTATTTCTCGCCTGAACTTTCGTAACTTTCCTTAAAACTGCTACATCAGTGTCACCATCACCAACATCATCGTCATCATCATCACTGACATCGTTTAATGAACAGTCTCTGGGTTCAAGCTTAGAAAGGCTCAATATTGCATCATCAGTTAATAACTCCCCTGTTTCCAAACCGTTATAAATTTCCACAAATTCAGAGGCAGACATGGGCTTTTCACTTACTTCACATGGAAATCTGGAGATCAATTCTGCCAGAGGAACATTATCGTCCTCAAACTCCTCAGGCTCTGCAAGCAAGGACAAGGGGGTGTCTTTTGGTAGAATGTCCACATGTCTCCAACAGTTGACTATAGTTTGGATTGTTACAGAATCCCAGGCGGATTTAACAAATGCAAGAGCACACTTCATGTCAATTGTTTGTTGTCTATTTTCCTCAATACAAGACAGAAAATGAGAGCACAGTAACTTTTTGTAGTGACACTTGAAATTTCTGATAATGCCAGCATCCATAGGTTGAATATGTGAAGTTGTATTTGGGGGTAGAAACTTTAGTTTAGTGTTTGTTAGCAACAACCCACTTTCAGTATGGCTAGATGCGTTGTCAACAAGTAAAACAACATGTTTTCCTTGTAAACACATAGACTTGTCAAATTGCTTCAACCAATCTTGGAATACAGAGGACGTCATCCAGGCTTTTTTGTTAAAAGTGTAATTTACATATATCTTCGGATCAAAAGTTTTACCAAAACACCTAGGCCTGGCACATTTCCCAATTACAAGCGGTTTTTGCTTGTCCGTTCCAGAAGCATTGCAGCAAAGGGCAATGGAAATTCTCTCTTTCGATCCTTTAAGTCCGTAGATCGAACCAGAGGCAAGTGTTGAATTTGGGCCGAGTCGATAAAACAAGCCAGTCTCGTCAAGATTATAGACGTCATCGGCATCATACACCTCTAATAAATCCTTCAGTTCACTGCGACCTAAAAATAAAAGCAAAAGAAAACGTTTTACTCACAATTTCGGTTTTCTTTAAAATAACACCAAAACTCTAATTAGGAGAGTACTCCGGAAAAGATAACTCGTGACCAATTTCGATTGATTAACTCCCTTAGTTTTTCATAACGTTTAAGTACGGTTTTAATATTAAATATAAATTCATTATTAGAGATGATTTCAATCAGGTTAAGAATTTATTTAATATAATTATTAAACCAATAATAACAATAAAAATCTAACCAGTATTCACGAGAGATAGATCAACACTTCCTGCTTCTCTGTGGGCTTTAAAGGATTTCAGTCCGTGGCGTTGTTTGAAGCGCTGTAATCAGCCCTTGCTGTACTGAAAGTTTTCTTTGATTTCAAATTGTTGTCTGAATATTTTAGCTTTAGACATTAACATTTCGTCTGATATCATAGCATTTTTAGCTCGACTATTCGCAGAATAATCGAGCTAATGCAGTCACCCATTTGTCGGCGTCGGCGTCAGCGTCCCTGTGGTTAAGTTTTTGTATGTAAGCTGGTATCTCCATAACTACTGAAGGGAATGGATTGAAACTTCACACACTTGTTCTCTGTGATTATCTAAGATGATTGGCACAAGTCCCATAACTCTGATTTGCTTTTTTTCATAATTATGCCCCTTTTTCGACTTAGAAATTCTTGGTTAAGTTTTTGTATGTAAGCTGGTATCTCCATAACTACTGAAGGGAATGTATTGAAACTTGAAGAGTTTGTACCTTTTCGGACAATTTTATGTATTCATATAGGTAAGCATTATTATACTCAATGAAACACCCTTGTGACAAATTTTCGAATAGTCGAGCGTTACTGTCCTCCGACAGTTCTTGTTACTCCTCATATCGTTAAACCACATGAACAACGCGTTTTCAAGATTTTCATATTTTCCACTTCGATGACACACACGTTTTGATTTTGGAGAGTTAGTTATTGTCTCTTTGTTTTTTAAAATGTCACTCACTGTCGATCTCCCTATTTTAATGTTCCATACATTTGAAAAATGAACACGAATATCACTTTGTGTAACATCCTTTTTACTCTCTTTATATGAAATGATTTCGTATTTTTGTTCAAAAGTTAAATTAGTCCGTTGACGTTTAGCTGGAGGTTCTGCCATTATTTTAATAAAAAAGTTGACAAGTGTAAGAAAATTCTGCTGTCGACAACACGTTGGTATTGTAATAAGGTGTAACAACCAATTGACCAAGCTACAATACCCGTTTTAACACCTTTCGACTTTTGTTCACCGCTCAATTATACGCGAGCTTGACTGACCAAGTGTCAGTATAACGGGTACTGATTGTATAGAAAATAACACGTTTATAACACGTTCGGTTCCCAATTTTATTGTGTCGGAGTCGGAATACGAATTTTCCGTTATAATGGATTATAATAATGTTGAAAAAAATTGGTTCCCACCAATTCACTGTCGTTATTTGAATTTGTCAGTATAATGGATTCCGGTGTATTGAGTCCTGACTGTATGCATGTGTATAGTAAAAACTTAAAAACACTTCTTTTAAAAAACTCAAAGAGCTAGAGTTTAGCTACTAAGCATGAAATATCTTCTTGTGAGTGTCTACTAAGTTTGTTGAAATAAAAGCCCTGGGGTCAAAATGGCCCTGCCCAGGGGGGGTCATTGTTTTTCCCTATATGTGCATAGTAAAAACTTATAAAAAATTTCTTTTAAAAACCCCAAATAGCTAGAGCGTAGATATTTATCATGAAACATGGGTGTTTACCAAGTTTGTTCAAATAAAAGTCCTTGGGTTAAAATTGGCCCCTCCTGAGCAATTTCAGGGTCATCATGGCCCTCTTGTTATTAATTTTAGCTACTTTTCAATTTCCTGTGGTTTAAATGATATTTTATGGGCACTATAGCAATGCATGTTCACAATTGCTATATTGTATGTCTTAATGGCTATAAAACAGTTAAAGAAACCTGCATCTGTTTTTTGTTGTTTCAGTTGAGGGATCTAGTGGCACAGAAGTTTTCTGCTCCAATTGAACAGTTATGTTTGATATTTGCTGGAAAGATACTGAAAGATGATGAGACACTTGTTCAACATTCCATTAAAGACGGGATGACTGTTCATCTAGTAATTAAATCAGCAAACCGGGTATTTATTAAACATACTACATTAAAAATATGTAATTGCTTTTTATCTTGATAACACAGTACACAAAAAGTTTTAGAAATAGCAAAATAAGAATGCAAATGAATTTCTTAAATTTTGAGTGGCTTACAGACTTACTGTGCTGGCACATATAAGCCATGAAGAAGAAAAGTACAAGAATAACAAGGTGCTTGTCATACTGGAAACAATAGCGTATATTCTGGTATTAATGTTGCCTCTACGAAGTAGTGACAACATATAGGGATCACTTCTTCGTCATCTGTCCGTCCATCACAAAACTTGTCTGTACTACTCCTCAGAAACTACTGGTGCAATTTCATCCAAACTTTACAGGAATTATCAGTACCAAGTCTAGTTGTGCATATTGTCAGCATTTTCCGGTTCAATTATTTTTGCAGAGTTATGGCCCTTTAATAATTTTTAGCTAGACTATTTGAAGAATATGAGAGCTATTGTAGTCCCATCTGCATCGGCGTCTGTGTTGGTTAAAATTTTTTGTAAAGTCAAATATCTCAATTATTGCTTGAGATATTCAATTACAATACTTATTATACCCCCGCACAACAAAGTTGTAAGGGGGGTATACTGAAATCAGCTTGTCCGTCCGTCCGGCCGTCTGGCCGTCCGTCGGTTTTTTCTTGTCCGCCCAATAACTTAAGATTCCTTTGACCCTTAGTCTTCATATTTGGCATGGAGGTTAGTCATGATTAGTAGATGACCTCTATTGATTTTGAGGTCAAAGGTCAAGGTCACAGGGGCCTTGACTTCAAAAAGCTTTTCCGCCAAATAACTTAAGATTCCTTTGACCTTCATATTTGGCATTGAGGTTAGTCATGATTAGTAGATGACCCCTATTGACTTTGAGGTCACCAGGTCAAAGGTCAAGGTCACAGGGGCCTTGACTTCAAAAGCAGTCTTTCTGAAAGACCGTCGGACCGTCGGCCCTGACCGGTAAAAATCAGAAGGTCCGATAAAAATATATGTTTTGACGGCCCGACGGTCCGGTAAAAATTAAGGATTTATAAAAACCTTACATTCAACATTTTGCAAAGGCCGATCATTTACCTACATTCAAAACAAATCAAAATGTTGTCATTACACAATATAAGCTCGTGCAATGCTTGTCAACTGTTATGCATTCTCATAATGCAAACTTTAATGTAACAACGTAAGATAAAAATATCCGACAACTAGTACAAGTAAAAGTCAATAAGCGGCCATGTAAATTACATAAGCGGCCCAGATGTAAAAGGTCAACCGCTATTAGTTTGTTTACACAGATGAAAGCGTCAGTGAATTAATTGGAACAATTTACGTCTTTAATCCACAGACTTAGAGAAATGTTAAATTACATGTGTGCTCAACTGGTGTTTAGCTATGAAAGATCGTCCAAGATGTTGACAAAAATTAAACTATACTGTGAAGGTACCAAAATCATTGAACAATTAATCTGTCAACTTCACTAAATTACCGATATATATAATTCTGTTTACATATGCCAGACTTTTGCTGAAATTTACCCTCTCATTTTGCTGTATGAAATTAAAGTTTAAATAGCAAAATCCATTGAATACAAGTATAACAATATTTATGTTTACATTTTAATTGTGGTGAAAAAAGATAACTTCACTTCGTTGATAATACAATTTTCTTTTTGTACACAAATTTTTTGACTGCTGACACTCAAATGACTCAAAATGCTATACCAATCAGGTTTTTTTCGGTCCAGTACAATCATGTTTGGTCCAGTAAAAATTTTCAGTTTACAGGACCTACTGTCCAGTAAAACTCAGAAGTCTTTCGCATAGACTGCAAAAGGCTTGTCCGACCAATAACTTAAGATTCCTTTGACCCACAGTCTTCATATTTGGCATGGAGGCTAGTCATGATAAGTAGATGACCCCTATTGACTTTGAGGTCACCAGGTCAAAGGTCAAGGTCACAGGGGCCTTGACTTCAAAAAGCTTGTCCGCCCAATAACTTAAGATTCCTTTGACCCACAGTCTTCATATTTGGCATGGAGCTTAGTCATGATTAGTAGATGACCCCTATTGACTTTGAGGTCAAAGGTCAAGGTCACAGGGGCCTTGACTTCAAAAAGCTTGTCCGCCCTATAACTTAAGATTCCTTTGACCCACAGTCTTCATATTTGGCATGGAGGTTAGTCATGATTAGTAGATGACCCCTATTGATTTTGAGGTCACCAGGTCAAAGGTCAAGGTCACAGGGGCCTTGACTTCAAAAAGCTTGTCCGCCCAATAACTTAAGATTCCTATGACCCACAGTCTTCATATTTGGAATGGAGGTTAGTCATGATTAGTAGATGACCCCTTTTGATTTCGAGGTCACTGGATCAAAGGTCAAGGTCATAGGGACTTTGACTTCAAAAAGTTTGTCCACCCATTAACTTAAGATTCCTTTGACCCACAGTCTTCATATTTGGCATGGATGTTGATCATGACTATAAGGTGACCCCTATTGATTTTGAGGTCACTGGGTTAAAGGTCAAGGTCACAGGGACCTTGACAAAAAAAAAGCTTTTCTTCTCAATTGCTAAAGAATGTCCTGTCCGCAATGTATTGATTTTGACATTTTCACATTTGAAGCATGTAGAAAACATAACTTAGCAATGCACTGGCTTAGTAAGCTCAGATTTGGCAGGGAGGTTGTCCTTGAGCTCTAAATGGCCACTGTTGATTCTGACAAAGTGGTATGCGGGGGTATTCACGCCATGATAGCGGCAGTTCTAGTTTATAGTAACAATGTACATCAGACTGACAAGTTGGATAACTCTGCCTAAAATATTTACATATGCCCCTTTTTAACTTAGAAATTTTGGTTAAAGTTTTATATCAATTATTGCTTGAGATATTCAATTGAAACTTACAATACTTATTTATAGTAACAATATACATCAGATTGACAACAATACTTATTTATAGTAACAATATACATCAGATTGACAAGTTGGATAACTCTGCCTACAATATTTACAGAATTATGCCCCTTTTAACTTAGAAATTTTGGTTAAAGTTTTTCGTAAGTCAAATATCTCAATTATTGCTTGAGATATTCAATTGAAACTTACAATACTTATTAGTCCCCTACCGGTTTAACCGGAGGGGACTTTAGGTTTACCCTCCGTCCGTCTGTCCGTCTGTCTGTCTGTCTGTCCGTCTGTCCATCTGTCTGTCTGTCAGTCTGTCAGTCCGTCAGTCCGTCCGTCCACAAAACTGGATCCCGCGATAACGCAAAAAGTACTGAAAATATTTTTATGAAACTTGATATATGGATAGATGGCAGTATGGAGATTATGCACGTCTTTTTTTTTTCTTCCCATGTTGAAAATTCTGGTTGCTATGGCAACAAATAGTCTGAAAATATGGCAAATTTAACACATAAACTGGATCCAGTGATAACTCAAAAAGTACTGAAAATATTTTTATGAAACTTGAAATATGGGTAGATGGCAGTCTGGAGATTATGCACATCTTTTTCTTTTCTTCCTATGTTGAAAATTCTGGTTGCTATGGCAACAAATAGCCTGAATTTCAAGATTTCTGATTTAAATTTTTCAGCTTTTTCACTATATGTTCTTTATTTCTTAAGGTGTTTACTTCAAACTTTAAATATAAGTTTCTGGTCATCAACCACATCATATGTGACAAGGTTTATAACTCTAGCACAAAAAATATCAGTATTACCTCCCTTGAACTTAGATTTTTTAGGGGAAAAAATGTTGTCTTTTTTAAATAACTTCTTTATTTCCTAATGTATCTACTTCAAACTTCATATATATGTTTCTTATTATCACTCGACATTTTTGAGAAGGTTAAATACCCTAGCAAGACTATTTCCAGAATTATGTCCCCCTTGAACTTAGATTTTTTTCGAGAAACTGGTATTTTCACTCCAACTTCTTCATTCCTTATAGGATTTACTTTAAAATCCCACATCGTAATAATATGACATGTTGTATAAACATAATTTCCTTACTAAGCATGGAAACTTAACACATTACTGTGATATAGACAAACTTATTTTATTATGTTTTGTGGTCGATATTTTCAAATACAGACTTCATCCTCAAATTCATTATAAATGGCAATACACAGGAGTGTATGACAATTAAAGAACTTTTTGAGGGACCGGTAGGGGACTACTGTATTGCCCGCAATACTATCAAATGCTTGTTTTTAGTAACAATGTACATCAGATTGACAAGTTGGATAATTCTGCCTATAATATTTACAGAATTATGCCCCTTTTTAACTTAGAAATTTTGGTTAACGTTGTTTCAGTTAACGTTGTTTCAGTGAAATACCAGTGTGCACAGTACTGGGAACCAGCTTAATGACATGACGTCGTAAATGACGTCAAGTTGTTTCATTATTTGGCGCGCTTTTCATTTAGTATTAGGTTTAATGTCTTTTTAAAACGTTTCTTTGCATATAATAAAAGAAAATTTGTTTAGTTTAGTGTAAGATCGAAATATATTTCACCTTGTGAACACCAAAAGTTCATATTTCACTCGTGGCTGTGCCACTTGTGAAATATACCTTTTGGTGCTCACTCGGTGAAATATATTCCGATCTTACACTGAACTAAACAAATATCCTCTATTTATTTAAAACTTCACATATGCATTTAGGGTCATAATTGTAGGTCACTGACCAAGATCCATAATTCTATCTTGCATTTAGGCTGATTTTTCTCCCCTTTTTCAACTTAGAAATTCATGGTAAAGTTTTGCTTCCATAACTACTGAAGGGTTTGTGCCTTTTTTGGGACAATTTTATGCATTCATAAAAATAAAGCAGTGATTTACTTGATAAAATATCTTAATAACAAGCCTTTGTACCTTTTCTGTCAATTTTATGTATTCATAGGTAAGCATTATTATACTCAATAAAACACCCTTGTGACAACTTTTTCGAATACTGTATTCCTAGAAAAGATTTCGCGCGTTTTAAGTTAGCGCTTTTCGCGGTGAATCTTTATAGCCGCGAATATGTCACTTATTACAAATCCGAGAACATTTCTAGCTT